TGTGTAAAACACCCAGAAATGTCACGGAAATTTACATGATCTACATTTTGTCCGGATACTTTTGGCAGGTGAGTGTAAATGTATCTTTTATATGCCGTCATTCCATGAATGGTCATGAAAAATTTCACGCAAAATCATCAGCTGTAAGGTCCAAATAGTTATTTTTAGCAGAATTTTTAACTTTATTTAAATCTCACAGATAACATCTACCTATATTGATAATGTCTTATTCTTTGATTTATTATTTAGCGTGTCATATTCTCTAAATTTATTATTACTACTATTTATATGTTTATGATTTTTATACTGTATTCAAAACAACAAATAATGCAAGTAACAATATGATAAACCGTTATATACTGATCGATTTACATGATCAATAGTTCTATAATAAATGCTACTGTAAAGAATGAAAATATTAGTAAAAAAAATAACTAATGAATTATTCTTATTTGGGACATTGGTATCTTTCTAAAGAGCTAAATTTTTCCTAAGTAATCTTAAGTGTAGTAAATGCTCCTTTTAGAAAAATAAATAGAAGTCTAATATTATTTTTACTATGGGGATCGTCTTTCACCAGTGATTAAGGTGATAAAGGTATATAAATAAAAGGACATAAATGGTGTTTCACATAATAATAATATTCGTCGTGTTATTGATTTCCCAAAATTGGCAGAATTCCTTAATTTTTTTATTCAATAAAAAATAAAATTAACTTGTTAAATCAGGAAATTTTATTTCAAAAATTTTTTTTTTTTGAAAAAGCAATACTCTAAAGTAGATTTAACAACACAAGTTATATAGATATATATTGAACATAAAACAATAAACAAAAATGCAAGCTTCTAACTTTAACGAATATAACAATAGTAACAACAACAACAACAATGATGACGACGACGACAACAACAATGTTGATTTATCAATGAATTTTACCTCTGTTAGAAAAGCAAGACCAATTTCAATATTTATTCATCCTCAAGAAAGTTTATCAAAAAATTCAATAGAAGCATCGTCACCATTAAGCGATCTACACGAAGATTTATCCATGATCTTGAATAATGGATTTGCTACTACTATGAGTTCTAGTAATGCCACAACTGCTAGTACAACAAATTATGCTACTGATACTACATCTACAGCAAATACAATTGCAACTTCAAATAATATAACCTCAACTCCTCATATTTTGGAGAACGTAATAACGCCAGCTTCAGAGATTGATGTTGCCTCTTTGAACTCTGTCAAGACTATCGAAACAAATCAAACGTTTGAAAGTTCGTCATCGTTGTCGTCGTCGTCGTCGGATAATATTAACAAATCAAATGGATCAAATGGACCACTGAGTGGATCGAATAACGGATCATTTGAGATGATCAAAACGCTTTGTGAATTAGATGTAGGCGATATATATCTTATCCTCAAATCTTCTCTCTATAATAATTCTCTCCGTGCGTGTATATGTGTATTAATATAATAATTTCATAATAATTTCATAATAATAATAACAATAATAATAACAATAATAATAAATAAAAAAATTAAAAAAGGGTGGATTGGGTGCAGCTTTAGAACGAGTTAAACAAGATGCGATATCAGCAAAAGCATGTATATTATAATAATTATTTCATTTATCAAATTTTTTGATATTTAGATTTACATATAATCTTGATAATAATAATATTGTTGTTGTTTGTTATTAGATGTTTGTGGAATTCTTGGAAAAAAGAGCCGCCATCGAAGAAAGTTATGGACGCGAGCTAATTAAATTGGCGAAAAATACTCAAGATAAATATTTGAGTAAAAGTGATACAAAGAAAGGGTAAATTTTTTTTATGAGCTTGCTTTATTTATTAATATTAATATTACCATGATTATTATTGTTAACTTCGTTGTTATTATTATTGTCATCATGTAGTTCATATGGTGATTGTTGGATTGATATGATGAAATTGCATGAATCAGTTGGAGAAAACAGAATTAGATTTGCTGCGACAATTCAAGAGATTTCTGATGAAGCTTTAACATTATATAAAGATACTGACAAGAGCAGAAAAAATGTATAAATAATAATACTCCAATTACCAAAAGGCCTATTATTAGTCTAATTTATAGCGTATTTACTTACTAATAGATTTATTATTTCTAATGATAACAATAGCTCTATGATTCTGGTCAGAAACATGTAAAATCAATCCAAGAAGCGGAACGATCTTTAGAAAAGGTATCCTTTTAATTAGATATGATCGACATAGTTGAATAAATGATTAAAACATGTATTGATTATAATTTTAGGCCAGGGGTAAATATGAATCAAATAGTGAAGATTGGGAACGTTTAATATTACTGAAAAATGGCGATACTCTGCCTCCTAGTATGAAATCGAAAACTTTAAAAACTATATTTTCAAAACAACCAAAGTCTCCAACACAAGTAAATTTCATTATTAATTTACGAACAAACAATAATTAATGATGCCGATAATAACATTTCTTAAAAAAAATTTAGTATTCAAAAATGGAGGAAGATGCTAGGAATAAGGCTGCTGCTGCGAATAGATATTATAAATCGCAATTATCAGGCGCCAATTTAATGCGTAATGAATATTATAATATTCATCTTCCTAGAATAATTACGGAACTAAAGAGCGTTGCTGATGAATGCGATGCTGGACTTCAATATCATCTGGCACGATATTCATATTTATATGAAAGTGCAATGGTTTCCGATGCATCGGCGATAAGTCCAGTTGATCTAGAAGATGGTAAATAATTTCAGATTTCTAAAGTTTTTTAGAAAATGATAATAATGCTATTTGTTGTTTATATTTATCATCAATTATATCAACTATTATTAATAGGTCCGGCACTTCGTACCATTGTTGAGCAAATTAATAATGATTCTGATTACCTGAATTATGTACAATCATTTAAAAAAAAATCCCAAAAATTAAAAATAAACGAGATTCCTTATAATCAATACAATATGGTAACTGACAAATTATTTTTTAAAATGAAAAGTTATTTTCTATAGGTTTTTTTATTAATTTTAATTGTTTATAGTCAGAACAAGCAATTAATATTATAAATCCTACAAATCCTAAACCTGTATTTGGAACTGATTTATCAGAATTAATGAAAAGAGATGGTGGAGTTATACCAATTATACTAAGGAAATGTGTCACGGCTGTTGAAAAATATGGTTAGAAACAATATTGTGTGGTGATGGTTGGGATTATTTTTTTTTTTTTGAATAAATAATTACAATTTTTTTTGCAAAAAGGCTTAGAAAGTTTAGGTATTTATCGATTGTCAGGAGTTACGTCACAAGTTCAAAGTTTAAAATCATTGTTTGACAAAGGTAATTGTTAATGTTGTTACTCTGGTAAACAAACAAATTTATTAACAAATTACGCACACGCATATATATTTATGTATTATAATAGATGCCGAGTCGGTCGATTTGGATTCCGAGGAGAATCTTAAAGATATAAATAACGTTTCGAGTCTTTTAAAGCTATGGTTTCGTGAACTACCCGATCCTTTATTTCCAAGAACAATGTATCAAGATTTTATTAATGCTGCTAGTAAATATATATTTATATTAGTAATTATTTATGAAGTATCAAATTTATTGAATAATTTTAATAATTCATTTTTATTTTATTTATTTGAAAGAAATTAATGATGAGAAACAACGTGTTCTCAAGCTTCATCAAACGATTAATAATTTACCAGATGCAAATTATATTTCATTAAATTACCTGATGGAACATTTAGATAAGTAAATATCTTCATCATTTTCATCATTTTTATTATGTAAAGTACATACATACATATATTTATATATATTTACTAATCAAAAATAAACTTATATATACATATATCTTTTGATAATAAACAGATTAGTTGCAAATCAAGAATATAATAAAATGTCTGTGAAAAATTTAGCAATAGTTTTTGGACCAACTTTATTTGGAAATGGTGGTAATATTGGAACTAGTAATAATGTTGGTAATAGTGTTGGTGGTGTACAGCAGCAGAATCCAATATCAGAATCAGTAGTACAATTCACACCATCATCTCAATCGCTATTGGGAATAGCAGCAGCATCTCAACAACAAAGTCTTATTGACATGATGCTAGAAAGCAATGATACAAGCTATCAATGTAAAGTTGTAGAGACAATATTAAGTAATTATAAAGCTATTTTTGTACAAGATGAAAGTTAGTGAATATTCGGATTATTGTATAATTATTGTATAATTATTTTATCTTTTTGCTTTACTTTTTTGGAATAATATATGTATGTAATTAAAATCGTTTTTTTTATATTTTTTATTATTTATAATTTTCATCATCATCGTAATCATCATCATCATCATAATCATCATCATCATTATTTATTTATGTTTTTTTTTTAAATAAATATCCACAATTTTATAAGACTTCAATATATTAATGTCATTATATATATATATATACATTATTATTATTATATACCTGACATAATGATAATAACAACAATAATAATTATATAATAAAACAAGTTTTGATTCGAATGCTCAAAATACAAAATATTTAATTAAATAACAATTTTTAAAAAAAAATTGTAAAATAAATATGTTAATTAATTAATTATTAGTGAAAATGTATAGGGCATTTTCCACTTCTTGCAAACCATCCTTGTATACAATGATGATGATATGAACATAAACAATTTAAACGAGTTACCGTTTCGCCTAAAAAAAAAATTTTTTCAATCGATCAATCAATCAAATCAAAATAATGAATTGAACTTAAATTAATGAATTAATTAATAAAAATAATTAATTACCAGCAGAAAATTCTTCAAAACAGATAGGACATTCTTGACCAATTAACGAGTTATTTTGTGGGAGTTTGTAGACTATTTTTATTTTTTTTTTGATTGTTTGGTTGGCGAATTATGTTTTGTGTTGTGTGATATGAATGGTGTCGATTTCGTGAATTTATCGTATTATTAATTTATTATTTATTATTATTATTATATATAAAATTTTAAAAGGGAATAAAAAAGGATGAATGAATCATATATATATTATATATGTGGTGACAACAATATAAGAAACCATATAAATTTTTAATAATAAATTAATATTATTATTATAATTATTATAATTATTATAATTATTACTACTACTATTATTATTATTAGAGGGATCTTTATATTTTTTTTTTGTTTTAAAAAGCGATTTTTTGCTCACCCACATATTTATAAACACTAACACTGTTTCCATTCTGATTTTCAAGACAGTTTTTGATATGTTCTTGATCAGATTTTGAACCTGGAACCTTACTCAACGTCATATTGCATACTGGACATTCTGCCATGGTTGAACTATTACTTGATTTCCTGTTATGACGAGACGATATCGATGATGATGATGACCCTACTACACTTATTGATGTTGATGAAGTTATACTATTGGAACGTTTTTTTTTTGTAGGATGTCCCATTGATGAATGACATGAATCACAAACACGATGATATTGTGAAGCTGAAGAAGAAGACGATGATGAATCATTTGGTGCCGATGGATCAAAAATTACTTGAGAAGGCGGTAAAATAAGTCGAGAAAGTGAACATCTATCACAAACAACTTGACCACATCGTCTAATTAAAATAAATAGGATTTTTGTTTATTAATAAAAAAAAATCAAAATATGACTTTTATTTTATAATATTATTATTAATTACCTGCAATGATGCCTTCTAATCCACAAGTTAAATCTTCTTCGGCATTGGCGGCACTCGTGAACATCATCATCATTTTCCCAAACTCCAAATGAGGTGATTGAGTTTGTAGTAGGAACACTGGTGATGTTTAAACTAAATTGTGAATTTAATCTGGTAGGAGAAGTCATCATTGATTGCCCATTACCAACACCACCATTTCCATAATAATTGGAAAATGATGAATTGCCAGCAATATCATCATTTGTAGTAGTCATGGACCATGGATCTTCTATTGTTTCAAAACTTTTAAAACTAGCAGTTGATGGTGCTCTAATATTAGTAAAATTATTCTTATACTTATTCTTAATGATTCCATTATTTGTATTACTGACATTATTATAATCATTACTACCACCATCACCATCATTATTATTACTGTCATGAATATTACTACCATTGTTGTCATCATCGTCATCATCATCGTCGTCGTCATCATCATCATCATCACCCACAGCAACACTATTTCTTAATTTACTAATAGGTAGTTCTAATTTAAAGATATTGTTAGATGACGAGTTTGGTATATGAGTAGGTGTCATTGGTACATCATGAAAACTTGAAGTTGGAGATTTTGCATAAACATCACTATTGCCTTTTCTAATACTTTCCAAATATTCTGAATGTTGTGTAAAACTATCTATAAGTGAATTTGCTTCTTGTTTTCGTTCATTATCTGTTTCAGCTATATGATTTTTTTAAAAAATTGTATTGTTAATGTTGAATCAAAAATAAATTAAGTAACAAGAAATGCATACATATGTAAATCAATAATACAAACATTCAATTCCTGTTTTTAAAATTCTAATTGCTTCTTTATATCGTATTAACTGTTCCGACATATCAATACTTTCTCTTTTGTTATAGTCTTGACTAAGCTTTATAATAGTTTCAGCTTTTTCTATATAATCTAATTGAGAATTATTTTCATTGATAAATCTTAAAGGATTATTTGATTCAGAAAGATTCATACGACGTTTCATCACACGAACCCATCTTCTTCGTCTGACCCAAGTATTTGCATTTGCAGGCGGTATTATCGACCATTTTTTATCTGCTTCATCAAAACTTCTAGCATATTGCCACCCTTGTGCATCTATACGTGGATGAGTCATGTCAATATGCCATTCATCCACCCAAAACCATAGTCTATTCTGAGATCGTGACGAGATGTTTGTAACAATTGACACGGTTGAAGAATTGGGACCTACAGGAAGCTTCACCGCTTCCTTGGATGATGGTTGACCACTAGGATAAAGAGACCAAGGGCTGCAATAGTCAGTTTTCAAAAGGTTCGCGGCAGAATATTTTGGTGGTCTTCGAAGAGAGACTGGAAAAATGGATGAAGCTCGTTGATTTTCATAAAATCTTGATACATTGTTCTTGGAAATAAAGGATCGGGTAGTTCACGAAACCATAGCTTTAAAAGACTCGAAACGTTATTTATATCTTTAAGATTCTCCTCGGAATCCAAATCGACCGACTCGGCATCTATTATAATACATAAATATATATGCGTGTGCGTAATTTGTTAATAAATTTGTTTGTTTACCAGAGTAACAACATTAACAATTACCTTTGTCAAACAATGATTTTAAACTTTGAACTTGTGACGTAACTCCTGACAATCGATAAATACCTAAACTTTCTAAGCCTTTTTGCAAAAAAAATTGTAATTATTTATTCAAAAAAAAAAAAATAATCCCAACCATCACCACACAATATTGTTTCTAACCATATTTTTCAACAGCCGTGACACATTTCCTTAGTATAATTGGTATAACTCCACCATCTCTTTTCATTAATTCTGATAAATCAGTTCCAAATACAGGTTTAGGATTTGTAGGATTTATAATATTAATTGCTTGTTCTGACTATAAACAATTAAAATTAATAAAAAAACCTATAGAAAATAACTTTTCATTTTAAAAAATAATTTGTCAGTTACCATATTGTATTGATTATAAGGAATCTCGTTTATTTTTAATTTTTGGGATTTTTTTTTAAATGATTGTACATAATTCAGGTAATCAGAATCATTATTAATTTGCTCAACAATGGTACGAAGTGCCGGACCTATTAATAATAGTTGATATAATTGATGATAAATATAAACAACAAATAGCATTATTATCATTTTCTAAAAAACTTTAGAAATCTGAAATTATTTACCATCTTCTAGATCAACTGGACTTATCGCCGATGCATCGGAAACCATTGCACTTTCATATAAATATGAATATCGTGCCAGATGATATTGAAGTCCAGCATCGCATTCATCAGCAACGCTCTTTAGTTCCGTAATTATTCTAGGAAGATGAATATTATAATATTCATTACGCATTAAATTGGCGCCTGATAATTGCGATTTATAATATCTATTCGCAGCAGCAGCCTTATTCCTAGCATCTTCCTCCATTTTTGAATACTAAATTTTTTTTAAGAAATGTTATTATCGGCATCATTAATTATTGTTTGTTCGTAAATTAATAATGAAATTTACTTGTGTTGGAGACTTTGGTTGTTTTGAAAATATAGTTTTTAAAGTTTTCGATTTCATACTAGGAGGCAGAGTATCGCCATTTTTCAGTAATATTAAACGTTCCCAATCTTCACTATTTGATTCAGAAAGATTCATACGACGTTTCATCACACGAACCCATCTTCTTCGTCTGACCCAAGTATTTGCATTTGCAGGCGGTATTATCGACCATTTTTTATCTGCTTCATCAAAACTTCTAGCATATTGCCACCCTTGTGCATCTATACGTGGATGAGTCATGTCAATATGCCATTCATCCACCCAAAACCATAGTCTATTCTGAGATCGTGACGAGATGTTTGTAACAATTGACACGGTTGAAGAATTGGGACCTACAGGAAGCTTCACCGCTTCCTTGGATGATGGTTGACCACTAGGATAAAGAGACCAAGGGCTGCAATAGTCAGTTTTCAAAAGGTTCGCGGCAGAATATTTTGGTGGTCTTCGAAGAGAGACTGGAAAAATGGATGAAGCTCGTTGATTTTCATGAAGAATAATAGGTACAGAAATATGAAAAGCAAAAACATCATATGGTTGATTTATTGGTGGCAAGGAATTTTCAAGATCCCTAAAAGATATTGCTATTGAAATATAAATATATATTTAAAAGGAAAGCTTTCGATTAATCTATACATATACATATATATATATTTATAAATTGCAACAACAAACAAATGCTTATTTATTGCATACGTTCAGGTATAGCTCTCTTTCCTTTCCACCAATCACGCTCAGCCTTTTCTAATAATTCACAAATATAAGCTTCATTACTTGTTGCAGCTGAATCAAATGCAGTCTCGCCAAAACTGTTCTTAATAAAAGGATTAGCACCGGCACGATTTAAAAGATACTCGACAATACCAACATGTCCTCTTGATGAAGCATTCACTATAATTTATAAAAATCAGTTGAATTACACTTTCCACTTTCATATTCATAATAACATCAAACAATATGTAATAAAAATAAAAAGTATAATATAATCAACCAAAGAAATATACTTAAAGGCGTGATGTTTTTGTTGCTTCCAACATCAACGTCTGCTTTAGCTACTTCTAATAAATGTTTTATTATTGGAAGATAACCTTGTGCAGATGCATTGTGAAGTGCAGTCCACCCATCATTATCTTTCTGTGAAACATTTGCTTCTTTTTCTAAAAGATATTTAACAACTGATATATGACCGTTATAAGAAGCTTTCAAAAGAGCATTCTATTTAATTATTTAAAATGATAAATAAAAGTACAAGTAAAAGTATATTAAATTTTTTTTTGATTAAAGAATCAAAAAAAAAAAAATTTTTAAAAGAAAATATATTTTAACTTACTTCACCAGTTTGATCTTCTAAATCAACAATGGCACCGGCATACTCTATCAACCATTCAACAATTTCTAGGTGGCCACGGGAAGCAGCATAATGAAGTGGTGTTAAACCTGAAGAAAGATTCGGAATATTTGCACGGTGAAAAGCTGTAACTATTCCACCAGAATCTTTAGGTGCTAAAAGTTCTTTAACCTTATCCAAGTTGCCAGCAGCAGTTGCTTCATAAATGTCCATATCAGTGGTGTCTTTTGAGAACTCGGACTGACGAAATGTACTATTGTTAATATTCATAGAATTTGGAGGTAGTCTAACTTGTTTTAAATGAATGTTGCTGTACGTAAATATTCGTGTACTTCATCCGGAGTGGGGGATGAATCATTTCAGTAATAGATGGTGGGGTCGGAGAAGAAAGCATATTTGGATTTTGGATTTTACAAGATTCAAATTTACCATTTTGTAATACAAAGAATTTCCAAAAAAAAATTCATTAATAATAATAGAAAGAGATGAAATTGAAATATTATGGAGTGGGGTGAAATTCTGATTGGCTAATTTGAATTTCACACATGTAAATTTGCGAATTCACATAATTTCATTTTCACGTACAACATTGATAAAAATTTTTTATTTCATGCAAGTACGACGAATATAGATTAGGTAGGATAGTAAAAACTAATTATTGGCTGAGAGAACCGTTAATCTGTCTCCCTTACCAAATATTAATTAATATTTTGTGGAGGTTTGATAGTACAACATTAATATAATAATAAAACTTACAAGAAATCGGAATAATTGTTATTGTCAATTTTTTCTATTATTCTTCTTTTTCTTAATATTTATATTATTTATACTATCTTTATTATTCTTATTCTTATTCTTATCCTTATTATCATTCTTATTATTGGAAATGTAATCACATTTTTCTAACAAGTCTCTAGCACAGTTATTTATATCTCTAAATCTATCTGTTATTAAAAAATAATTTTAATTTATTTGCAAAATATTAATAACAATAATTAAAAATAGTTTACCTGGTCCTAATAATATTCCACCATACCATCTTGTGACTACCACAATAACATTTCTTGAATCAAGCATTTGTAATAAATGTAATAATCTGCTACCTGCTGCTGTTTCTCCATCATCATCATTATCTTTCAAAATAAAATTTCATTATGATTATTCCTTGGATAAAAAAGTCATTCATTAATACTAATTAATGATAATTAAAATAATAATTGATACCTTGTAATATTGCACCATTATCTAGTAAAATTCTATAAGCCATTATATTATGTGTAGCTTTAGCAATTTTTCTATCAGATAGTAACATAGATCTTACAAGCTTCACTTCTTGAATATTGTTTACCTTTGCCAAATGTGCCAGAAAGATTGATTTTTTATGTTCTAAAGGTTCACCATGAAATATCTTGGGACATGTTTCTGAATTTATATTTTTAATATTTTCTAAATTTAAATTTTTTTCAACTGTCATCAACTCTTCTTCCACCTTTTCGTTGACCTCATTTCCTTCAGAATTATCATCATTAATGTTAATGGAAGAAAATTCTTCTTCTAATAATTTATTTAATAGGTAGTCTTTCAACCACTCAATCCAAGAAAATATTACCACTTCACCAGGAACAAAAAGTTTTCTAAAGTTCTGATCAATCTCTAACCTAATCAAATCATCAATTTTCATTACACCACAATATACACTCAATATCTCATAAATTGGTGGCTCATCAGATGGATAGTCTAAAGAAAAATAAAACCTTATTTTAAGTTCTTTTTTACTACCAACATTGTTATTATTAGTGGTGATGCTATTATTGTCATCTAAAGATAACTTAAAAATATAGGTTGAAAAAGATGAGACAGAATCAGTTGCCTTTTTTTCTTCCTCTTCTTTTTGAAAAGAATCTTCACCAAATATTGAAGTTATTGCTAAAATTTCATCTTCTTTTAAAGTTACATTATCAGTCATTTTTAAATAAATGAACCATTCAAAATTTGAACACCAAAAATTCAGGGGTTCGTGAAATATTAATATTAATGTGGTACAACTTTTTATTGGACGTGTAGATCCAGGTCTACTATGTTTATAATGAACGAATTGGAAGAGAAAATTTTTCATAAAATATTTATTTTTATCATACGGGCCAATTTTTTTGATCGACATCCTGTGACATTTAAAAATTGATTATTTTTATATATTAAAATCACAAGT